AAGAAGAAGAAGAAGAAGAAGAAGAAGAAGAAGAATATGAAAGATATAAGAAAAAACGATCGAATCTACCAAACCGATTTTTTCACGATAGGTTTTTATCTTTAAATCAATCCATGTGGACTTCTCTCGAACCACGAATGGACCAAGTCGATCGATCGATCGATCTTTCGATCTCTCAGCCAGAGATTTCGATAACTCTTCGATAACTCGGCATAATCTTTATTTATCATCGACTTATTTCTCGTGATCGTCCGTCATCATTTTCTAAACGTTCTCGAATACAAATCGTGCGAACGATCTAACAACCATAACTAAACAGGATATATTTTTTTTGTTTTTTATATTACCAAGTCTTTTATTATTAACGTAAGTCGAAAGAAAATATAATTAAAAAAAAAAATATATATATATTAATTTTAACGTTTTTATAAATACGATATTGAAATTATTCTTGTATATTACAAAATACATTTTTAATGTTTTTTTTTTAACTATTATCACATAGCAACCAACTCTTGTGTAATTAACCTGTGCAATTGTTTTTTCTTCAAATTTGTTAAAAGTCGAATTTTACTTTTCTCATTCGATGATAATAATTATTAGAATAATTTTGGAAAACATAATATCGATCAGATTCAGATAATAATTTTGTTTAAACATTAATTGAATTCTCTTTTTCTTTCTCGTTTGTTTTTTTTTTTTTTTTTTGAAAACAGTTTAAGAGAAACATTTAAAACTTTCAGAAAATCATTCTAGTAATTTCTAAACCTGTGACCGAAGCAAATGTCGTCTCGTTATTTTCTCTCTCTTTCTTTCCCTCTCTTCCCCTCTATCCCTCTCTAACACCCTCCATAACTTTAGCATCCTTTTTTTTCCTCTCCCTTCAGTGTTCCCGACGTTTCGCGTACTCGTCGACGCCCCACGAAGCGGACACGAGCAAGCAACCAGCAGTTTTCTTTCTTTCTTAACGTGTCTTCCTCTTCACTAAAGTTTTACGCCCTTCCACTATCCACCCTACTAACCCTTCATCTTTAAACCAAAAATCGGGCAATGAGTAATCCAAAACTCGACTATCGTATACAATTTTTACGAAAATATTTTCATTCGTATATTATTTTCTCTAC